CTAGGGTAGGGCCAGGGTGAGCCCTGCCCACTCAGGCTGGACACTGGGCACCCTCCCTGAGCTCAGCCAGGAGCGGCAGCTGCTGGCTTCTCCCGTGGGTGAAAGCACCCACCCTGCACCGCAGCAGGCACCCACCACCGCCGCTCTTCACCCTGGGCCTGCCTAGACCCGCCCACATGAGGCTCAGCCACCTGTCGGTGCCTCAGTAGACACACACTTGGGGCGCAGCTGGGAGACTGAACAACAGCAGCACGGCCCATAGTGGGGAGGGACCGTTCCAGGCCCGCTGCCATTGGCGTCAGTGCATACACTGCCCCGCCTGCAGCTCTTCACGGGACCCCACAGCCAGCTCTTAGCAGGTGGGGGCCTGCACTAACCACCTGCCGTTAGATCCCAAAATGGCCAAACACACGAGATACTCAGACCACTGGCCATCTGGGAGAGCAAATCAAATAACGAGCTTATAAAAGGCTCAGAGGTCCCAGCCCTTGTGGCACAGTGCTTACGCATTGGGCTGCAGTCTGAAGGGTCGGCAGATTGAAATCGCCAGCCGCGCCTCAGAACGATGGGGCTTTCTACTCCCGTAGCTATGAGGTCTATGGGTTAGGGGGTGCTGCTAACCTCAAGGATGGCAGTTCAAACCAGTCTCTTTCCAGGGAGAAAGGGCTTTCTGCTTCTGTAAAGATGTATGTCTGGGAAACCTTGTTTGGGTGGGTATGAATCAATCAACTCGGCGACAGTAGGCTTTCTTGGGTTTTGATTAAAATATAAAATTATGTTACGAGGGGCCATTGAGTGGGTTCCACCTCCTAGCAAGCCCACCCACGATAGGACACACCGCCGGTCCTGCGCCTGAGCCATGGATGCAGCCACAGTGTCCGTCCATCTCATCAGGGGCCTTCCTCCTCCTCGGCCCCTCCACTTCTCCAGGGACCAGTCTCCCCTGATAATGTCCAAATACGTGAGGCAAAGTCTTGCCATCCTTCCTCTCTGGAGCACGCTGGCCTCATGCCCGGGACCAGCCCCCAACAGTCGAACAGGTCCTTGGGAGTAACTGCGATTGCGGAAAATAAGGCAGCAAGGCCAGGGTCTCCTTGTCCCACGGTCAGCACTGAGAGAGCAAACGTCTTTTTCAATGGGTATTGATAATCGTGGGGCTACAAGTCCTTCAGCAGGCGTGCAGGTAAGAGTGGATGGGTAATAGAATAAGCAGGTAATAGAATGAGTCAGTGATCTGACCTTCTGTGTCCTTGAGCCCTCTGAGGGAGCAATCTATCATCAGTATCAGACATCAGAAGGGAGTTAGCTACTCTTTAGGGTGAGATGATGTGTTGTCTGATTTGACTAGAGAAACAAATTCATAGAAACGTGTAAGAGCTTTACACCAAAGCAATTTATTGAGAAAACATCCCAGCCCAGTCCAGATTAAGCCCTTAAGTCTGATGTTATCCCATATGTCAGATACTAGTCCATACATTCCTCTTTAGAATCATGCAGCCATGCAATGATGCCAAATACAGGAAGATCATGGGCCCGTGGATAGAAGTTCTTGTGGATCAGTGTCAGTGGAAGCATCTCAATGCTGGCACGGGCCTCTACATATCTCTTCCAGCTCTCTGAGTTTCTCAACTGATATCTCCTCCAGCTCTCTGAGTGTCTCAACTGCAGGAAAAGGAAGGCAGAGAGCCTGGATCCGTCTCCAGTGAGCTATTTATCTCCCTTGTGCCCTCCAAGTGAGGTCATCAAGCTGTGACCTGATTGACAGGCTAGACTCCACCCCTTTGCTCAAGTTGATAGGAGATTATGTAAGTACCACAGAGGGCCAATGGAGTCTGATTGCGCCTAAGGACAGATAAGTCAGGCATGTAGTGAACAGCCGCGTGCGTCTTTATGACAGCTCCTTTATGGAGGGCTGTCGCCAGGGCTCTTTTCTGCCTGAAGAATGTGCATTTGACAATACCTCAATCTCAGAACAACGGAGGTTTTTCTCTTGAGTAGAGCTGGTTTACCAAGCCCATGGTTGCGAGTGTAGAAATAAGGCCAGATACACTCTTCCAACGCCTCAGTTCTCCACAACCATGCTTCATCCGAGACAGAGCTGCTTGTCCTTTTAGCAGTCTGTGGGACTTACAATATTCTGGCCAGCACCACAGTTCATGTACATCGATTCTTCTTCAGTCTTTATTCAGTGTCCAACTTTCACATGTATGTGAGGCAACAGAAAATACCATGCTTTGAGTCAGGTGCACCTTCGTCCCCAGAGCAACAGCTTTCTTTTTCAGTACTCTAAAAAGGTCTTGTGCATTGAATCAACCTGATGCAACACATCTTTTGGTCTCTTGACTGCTGCTTTCATGAGCACTGATTGTGGATCCAAGCAAGACAAAATCCTTCACAACTTCAATCTTTTCTCTATTTATCATGCTGTGACCTATTGGTCCAGTTGTGAGAATTTGGGTCTTCTTTACATTGAGTCAGATCCACACGGAAGGCTGCCATCCTTGATCTTCATCCGCAAGTGTCCCAAGTCCTCCTCCCTGTCAGCGAGCAAGGCCGGGTCATCTGCACACCGCAGGTTGTTCTAAGCCTTCCTCCCGTCCTGATGCCGCAGTCTTCTTCATAGAATGCAGCTTCTGGGATGATTCCCTCGGCATACAGATGGACCCAGTAAGGTGAGAGGAGACAACCCTGACATTACATCTTTCCTGATCTTAAACCATGCAGCATTCGCTTTTCTGTTCACACAACTGCCTCTTGATCCATGTACCAGTTCCTCGTGAGCACAAGGGTGTGTTCTGGAATCCCCATTCTTAAAGTTATCCATAGGTTGTTATGATCCACACAGTCGAATGCCTTGGCAGAGTCAATAAAATACAAGGAAATATCTTTCTGATGTTCTCTGCTTTTGGTCAAGATCTAACTGACAGAAGCAAAACTATAACATCATTAAAATGATACAGTTCTCAGACGATTTCATAATTATTCTATTGGGCAAGTGCCTCCTTTGATTGGGGGTTAGTAGTAAATTGTAAAATTGCAAATGCACACTGTGTCGGCTTGCTAGGACTGCTGTACAAGTCAATGTTCCTACAAAACCATGGACGCTGTCACTGCAGAGCAACACCAGAATGCAGGGCTGTTGTCCCACGGCTCCATCCAGGTCATTGTGTTTCTGAAGGCGCTCTTTGCATCCCACAGGCCCCAAGGAACACCCTCCTTCTGTCTTTTATGGGGAGCAGTAAAGAACCTGGACAAGCAGGACCAGGGCTGGAGGACAGAGGGGTGGCGTTGTTCAGTGGGGTTCGCGTAGGGCCATGCTCCCTGTGCACCGCCTGGCCTTCTGCTTACCAATGGCATTGCCAACTTTCTTAAAATGTCTTCCCATAAGCCCCGTGATTCTCTTGTTCCTTTGAGAACATTGGT